AATAAATTACATTTTAAAATATATATATATATATATATATATATAAAAAATATATATAATAGAAAACAGTTATTTTAAATTGCAATATTATCTCACAAAATGACTTTTTTTTTTTTTTTACTGTATTTTTGATCAAATGAATGCAGCCTTGATGGGCATAAGCAACTTAATTCAAAAACATTAAGAAATATGAATTATTCCAACTTGAATTATTCCAACAAAAAAAAAAGTCAAAAGAATAAAGAGCAAAAAAGCGAGTGTGAATCAGTGTGTGCGTACCGGGGCCACCTGCACCACCTGCAGCTGTATGTGCTGTGGCTGTGACAGGCCTCCTCCTGCCTGAGACACTGGGATGTACTGGATCCTCTGGAAATCCCCTTGTGCTGTACGGTAGTCTGTGGTCAGGGTCTGGGACAGCTCCGTCATGGCCTGAGTCAACAGATCGGTGGTCTAGGAGAAAGACAGGAACTGATGAACACTGGGTTGTTACGTGACTTGACACTTTATTTACCGTCTAACCAGTAACACTTTACCGATATGTCTTTAAAGGGGGCATAACACACAAGGTTTCACCCAATCTCATGTTAATCTTGAGTACCTATAAAGTAGTACTGCATCCTTCATATCTCCAAAAAGTCTTTAGTTTTATCAGATTTATAAAAGAAAGATACAGCTTTACGATTCTCTCCGAAAAAAGCCGAGCTCCTGGAGGCGCGCCGTGGGCGGAGCTAAAGAGTGACGAGCACTTGGGCGCCGAATGCCAACAAAACAGACATTTAATGCCGTTTCACTTACCGTCTGCAGTTCTGAATCATGACCCGGATCTTTTATAGCTCGACAGCTCCATCTTTCAGTATCAAACCATGTGCAAATCCAGCGTTGAACTGGGCCTTGTTTATAAAACGTTCGTCAACAAACACACTTGTGCGCGCTCTCGCTTTTTCTCTGGTCGATGCGTGCGCGGGCGCGTTCTTCCGGGAGAAATGCCCATATAAGGAGTTCCACCCTCGTTTACGTCATTAAGAGCCACGATCGAAAAAAAGTTTCCGAAACTTGTACGAACACGGAAGTAAGATTTTAAGATAAGATTAGATAAGATTTCATACGTCCAAATTGTTTTTTGAAACTTTGTCCATGCTTAGCATGAGAATCCAACTCTTTAACAGTGTAAACAACTCTGAATGCACGAAACAGCGTTGTACCCCCCCTTTAAATTTTGAGAGAAAAATGGTTACAATTTGAGAAAGATGTCGAAATAAAATGTTGAGAATAAACGTTAAATTACGAGAAAAAAGTTGTTCAATTTTGAGAAAAAAAGTCTAAATAAAATGGTGAGAATAAACTTGTTGAATTACGAGAAAAAAACTTGAATTGAAAAAAGAAAAAAGTAGAATTAAAATGCGAGTCATAAACACACTCGCGTCAGGTTCATTTCATCTCATTGCAGAGTGTCAGACAGCGTCTGCAGGGGTGTAGGCTGGAGAGTAATGCACATGAATGCATAGCATATGATGGTAGCATATGATGCAATCGACCATGGATCCAATGCGTCTTTTTCCAAACTCGCATTTCTTCCTTTTCTCATCACATATCACATCGGAAATCAAGCACAACGCTGTTTCATCTACCTTTAATCATGTTTAAATCACCGCGGAATCTGTGGTTTGTATTGGAGAGCTCTGCTCCTTCTCACAGTGCTGTTTAGTGGTCGCATGATCAAGACCTGCGAGTAAACGCATTTGTTCTGAGCTCGCACGGCACTGTCTTTAGGCAGATGGTCCGTGCAGTACGCTTCACACTACACTCTTAAAAATAAAGGTGCTTCTCACAAAATGACTTTTTTTTTTTTTTTACTGTATTTTTGATCAAATGAATGCAGCCTTGATGGGCATAAGCAACTTAATTCAAAAACATTAAGAAATATGAATTATTCCAACTTGAATTATTCCAACAAAAAAAAAAGTCAAAAGAATAAAGAGCAAAAAAGCGAGTGTGAATCAGTGTGTGCGTACCGGGGCCACCTGCACCACCTGCAGCTGTATGTGCTGTGGCTGTGACAGGCCTCCTCCTGCCTGAGACACTGGGATGTACTGGATCCTCTGGAAATCCCCTTGTGCTGTACGGTAGTCTGTGGTCAGGGTCTGGGACAGCTCCGTCATGGCCTGAGTCAACAGATCGGTGGTCTAGGAGAAAGACAGGAACTGATGAACACTGGGTTGTTACGTGACTTGACACTTTATTTACCGTCTAACCAGTAACACTTTACCGATATGTCTTTAAAGGGGGCATAACACACAAGGTTTCACCCAATCTCATGTTAATCTTGAGTACCTATAAAGTAGTACTGCATCCTTCATATCTCCAAAAAGTCTTTAGTTTTATCAGATTTATAAAAGAAAGATACAGCTTTACGATTCTCTCCGAAAAAAGCCGAGCTCCTGGAGGCGCGCCGTGGGCGGAGCTAAAGAGTGACGAGCACTTGGGCGCCGAATGCCAACAAAACAGACATTTAATGCCGTTTCACTTACCGTCTGCAGTTCTGAATCATGACCCGGATCTTTTATAGCTCGACAGCTCCATCTTTCAGTATCAAACCATGTGCAAATCCAGCGTTGAACTGGGCCTTGTTTATAAAACGTTCGTCAACAAACACACTTGTGCGCGCTCTCGCTTTTTCTCTGGTCGATGCGTGCGCGGGCGCGTTCTTCCGGGAGAAATGCCCATATAAGGAGTTCCACCCTCGTTTACGTCATTAAGAGCCACGATCGAAAAAAAGTTTCCGAAACTTGTACGAACACGGAAGTAAGATTTTTGGCACTCCGTCATACGTCCAAATTGTTTTTTGAAACTTTGTCCATGCTTAGCATGAGAATCCAACTCTTTAACAGTGTAAACAACTCTGAATGCATGAAACAGCATTGTACCCCCCCTTTAAAGACAACACTAAATGGCAACAGCCTTTTCAGTAATTTAAAGCATTCAACTGAATGTTAACATTGAGACCCAAGACATTCGTATAGAAAGTAAATAGGGCAGATTTTGATTTCATGCTATCGCTTTGAAGTGTTTGTTCGAGTGTGTCAGAGCGTGCACATTCTGCTCACCACCACGGCCTCTGCAGTAGTGCCGTCTGTTGTGATGACAGCAGGAGTGCTGCTGATGACGGTAGTGGCCAGCGGTGCCTGGATGCTGCTGTTGTACTGATACTCTGGATGCTTCTTACGGATGTGCTGGACCATCTTTGTCTAAAAATAAAGATAGACATGTGTTAGGACACATCAATCGATTCACATGAGCATATATACCATGTCATTCCTGACTCTACAGTACCTTGCTGCTGTACTGTTTGGCACAGTGCGGGCAGCACACCGGTGCAGTAGCGATGGTGCCGGTCAGCTGCGTGTGTGTGCTCAGCATGGGGTCAGGTTCTCCCGGCCCAGCCGGACGCAGCTTCCGGATGCTGGGGGGCAATTCTGCCCCGGGGTGGTTCTTCAAAATGTGGGCCTTCCTCTTACTGGCACTTTTATACACCTGAACAGGTGAAGATAAAATAATAACATAATACAATAATTCATAAATACAATTACTTTCAGGGATGAATTTCCCTGACTTTTCCAGTAATTTGTGTGTATGTGTGCTGTTCAAAAGTTTGGGATCAGTAAAATGTTTCATGTTTTTTAAAGAAGTCTCTTATGCTCATCATAAGACTTCTTTAAAAAAAAAATTTTTTTTTGGGAAGCTGTGATACTTTTTTTAAAAAGAATTTATTTAAAATAGAAATCTTATCTAACAATATAAGTCTTTACTATCACTTTTTTATCAATTTAACACATCCTTGCTGAATAAAAGTATTAGTTAAAAAAAAATTACTGACCCCAAACTTTTGAACGGTAGTGTATTTTGTTACAAAAGATTTTTTATTTTAAATAAATGCTGTTCTTTAACATTTTATTCATAAAATAATTCTATTTTAGTATATACAAAAAAAAGTATATACAGGTATATAAAAAATATTTAGATGTTTCCAACCTTAATAATAAATCAGCATATTAGAATGAGTTATGAAGGATCATGTGACACTGAAGACTGGAGTAATGGCTGATAAAAAATAAAAAATGTAACAGTATATTAAAATAGAAAACAATTCTTTTAAATCACAATAATAATTCATAATGTTACTATTTTCGATCCAATACATGCAGCCTTGATGAGCAAAAGAAGACTTCTTTAAAAAACATAAAAAATCTTACTGATCCCAAACGGATCATGTTTGATGACCAGGACTGGAAATTAACTTTTTTTTTCTCAAAACAATAATTCTCTGATATTTCCCTGTTTTCCATTACCATGGGAACCCTGTCCTGTGAATTTTTCATAAAAATGTCATTTACAAGATCAACTTTAAGAGAGAACCTGTTGATATGAACGTACTATGCAGAAAGAGCCAAATGGTAACTCTATTTTCAGAGGAGGCTCAAGTCTCTTGGCTCTAGGACACACTAATATCGTCTTTCTATGAGTCAGCTGTAACTGCAGCCAATGTGAAAACCAGAGGGGCGTTAAAATGTGCAGATCCGTAGAAGGTGGTAAGACAGAATTGGCAGAGCTCACAGCTCTCATAAACGACCCCAGTAGAACTGAAGGAGTCCAGACCTTATCACAGTACTGGCAGAAATAATCTCGGTTGGGTTTAATGATGGGCAGCGTCAGCTCAGGAACCTCCTCCAAACGCATCTCAGGATGTCGTTTAGACAGGTGATTCACCTGTAGACAGAACAGTAAGAAAACAAACAAAGAGGTCACAAGTGGCCTATGATTTCAAAAAC